ATACTGTTCCTCTAAGCTTTTGCAGGGTGTGGTGGCATGTGTTTGAAATGTCTCTTTATTCACACACAGATTATCCTTAACTTATGATAGGTTATGTCCACATAACCCTGATGCAGGTCTTCAGAATTCTATTGCAGGGGATACAGTGTTCTTTTCTAATCTCATTGTTTTTCCTGAGAAGGGTGTTTCTAAACCAGTTGTTATCAGGTTGTCTCTCCCGAGCCACATGGACAACACCTCTTCAGCTTTTCTGGGAATATTCTCAGTGATTGTGTCAATAGCAGTAGTAGAGACAGCGGTCTTACAGCATGTATCACAACTGACAACTTGTGAGGGAATGTCTTGTTCTGCACATGATGCTTACAGCCTGCCCAAGAGCAGTTTGAACCCTTGCATTTTCTTTCTGTTTCAAAGTCATTACCATGATTGTTTGATGAGATGTTGGGAATGCAGGTGAAGTGTGGAGGCAATTGGAACTGCCACACTAGGAAGATGGGATGCTCCCTCATCTCACAGTATGGAAAAGGCAGACTTCCACTGCTAAAATGTGCCCTTGATGGGGCAGAAGGTGTTGGACTCTCCATTCTGAGGGAGAGAGTGACCACCAGCCTTCCAGGGAGACTGTGTGGTGTTGCTCCTAGAGAAATATGTGTTCATTTCTAAAGACAGGTTTATTTTCCGGACCAGTGGCATCCTCAAATGGTGGAGACCTGAGGTGATTCTGGCCGTGAATCATATTTTCTTGCAGATATGTCTGTGCTGATCATAAATCATACCAAAACATTTATCGTACACATTTATTTCTGCCACCTTTCTTTTAAATGTTTCTATTTTAAAACATTTTGATTATCTATTTTTAAAGTAGTAGTAGCATAAAACCTAACATCTTAGCCATTTTAAGTGTACAGTCCAGTAATATTAAGTATATCCACGTTGCTGTGCAACCCTTGCCAAGAAATTCTTACCTTTACAATCTGAAAGTCTGTACACAGAGTCCCCATCCTCTATTCCCTTCCCAGCCCCTAGGAGCTACTGCACCTTGACTTTGACTATACTATGAGCCTGGAGTAGGCAGAGTGGCTGGAGGGGTGTGGAGCTGTATGAACATAGGGAAGTGGGTAGCTAAGTACGGGATATGTCTCAATTGCTGTATTCAGAATCCCTCTGGGCTCTGGGATGGACTTGGTTATGCAGATCCCTGAGTGTTTGAGAGCCAGCACCAAAGCTGAAGTTACTCAGTGTATCATAAGGAAGCCACCTCTAGCAGGACATGTTTTTGCTGGTACTGACTGGAGCCTGGCATGGACTCTGAGCTGCGTGAAGAGGGGGATGACACTAAGCACATGATGTAACAAAGCCTCTCCCAAGTCACTTGAGTTCAGTGTGCTACGTACAAGGAACAGTTTACTAACACATCGTCACAATGAAAAAGAAGACCTCCCTCCTTTGAAGCATCAAAACTCTGGTACGCAGCAAACAAGTTAAGAAAGATGGACAATGGGTAGCATGATGGTGAACACTCCTTTGGTACCAGCCTTGGATGACTGAGGTGGAAGGGTCACTTGAGTCCAGGAATTTGAGGGAAGCCTGGGCAACAGAGAGACCACATCTAAGGAAGTAAGTAAAGAGCCAGGCGGCGGTGGCGCACGCCTTTAATGCCAACACTCAGGAGGCAGAGGCAGGTGGATCTCTGAGTTCGAGGCCAGCCTGGTCTACAGAGTGAGTTCCAGGACAGCCAGGACTACACAGAGAAACCCTGTCTAGAAAGACAATAATAATAATGATGATAATAATATAGTTCTTTCATTTTCTAAAAGGACAATAAATAGTTAAAAATTAAATATTTAGAACAGTAAAATGCTATTAATTAATTCAAGTTCAGCTGTAAATTGTGACTTGGCAAAGGATTCCAAATGCATGGTAAAAGAAAACAGATTTTAAAAAGCACATCTTACAAACTAGACGGACAGCCCACTGCTGAGGAGGAGGTAAAGTTGCTACAGCCCTTAGGAGACAGCCCCCCAACTTCCCCACAACTGCCTGTTGCCTGTATGGGCTGAGGCTCAAGCAAGGAGTCAAATCAGAGAGTGGGGCTCCGACACATGGTAAAGTCACTCTGAACGGAAGTAGGGCAGGGCCTTCCAGCTGGGCAAGACTTAGCTCCCTCCACAGGGGACATTTGTCAATTTGTCTGGGTGACAGTGGTGGCCGAGGGAAGGAGAATATAGGCGGTAGAGGACAGGGTGCTTCTTCACATTCTCCAGTGTTCGATTCAACCCTGAACTAGGAATCTCCAGCCCCAAATGTCAGCAGTGCTGAGACTGAGAATTCCCAGGGACAGCAGCACTTGGAAAGAACTTCTGTAGCCCTGGGTATCCCATGCAAGGTGCTGCCCGAGTCCCGCTGCTGGCTCCACGTGCTCTCCAGTGGTTGGCAATGACTGACCCCTTCCCACTGTGTCCCTTTCTCTCTGAGGTGAAAAGGCGTCAGGATGCTTTGCAGTGTTTTGTTAATTCATTAGGACCATGCACTTCCAGAACAGCAGTGTGCATGCTGGCATCAGGGGTGTGCATGCTGCCATTTATTGTTATCAGCTTCAATATGCAATTGGTCATGTCTTTATAATAAATAAGATAGCTCCCGGGAGAGAGCAGTGAGCGCTGGTGCAACCGAGGAGCTGTGTTCTCAATTCTATTTCATATTAATGAATATGAATGACTGTAGGGACTTGTCAGGAATAGCACCTGAAGCAGGGAGATGGAGAGCAGGTGATCCAATAAGAGAAAGCCACTGACAACCCACTATGCACGGGCGGAGGGAAGCAGCAGTAGCTTGCCACTGCGCTAGGCAAGCAGCAGGGGTGTCTGCCGCGATTTCCCCTCATTGCCCTCTGTGATTATTCTCATAAAGTCCAATATAAGGGCTGGGGAGATGGCTTTGTTAGTAAAATGCCTGCAGCACAAGCCTAGGTACCTGAGTTTGAATCCTCAACATCCACATAAAAAGTCAGGTGCATTGCACATGCCTGCAGAGAGGGTGATACAGGAGGATGCCTGGGCCTTCTTAGCCAGCTGTCTGGCCAAACCTGTAAGCTCTATGTTCAATGAGAGATGCAATCTCAAAAAATAAGGTGAAGGCCTGGGAAGATGGCTCAGCAGATAAAAATGCTTGCCATAGAAGCATGAGGACCTGGACCTACGTTTGAATTCTCAGAACCCACATAAAAGCCAGATACTTAGTACAAACGCCTGTATAATCCCAGCACTCCTGTGGTGAGATGGGAGGTGAGACAAGAGAAACCCTGGACGCTCACAAGTTCAGTTAGCCTGGTAGACAGCAGAAAAACATCAGAAACCTTGTCTCAAAATGTGGTGGAAGATGAGGACCGACCACCAAGGTTGTCTTCTGGTTTCTACATGTGTACCATGGCATCCACACATGCTCACATTCTCACAAATATGCACCCATTTACACACATACACACAGACACACACACACACACACACACACACACACACACACACACACACACACACACAGAAGCACTTGAGAAAGATTCCTGATGTCCACTTCCATCCTCCACATACATGTGCATACACACACAAACATGTACTTACATGTCCATACCAATTTTTTTAAAGGCCCAGCATAGGTAGAAGTGGGTATTAGAGGAGATTGAGAAAGAGACAAGAGAGAAGCCTGCTGAGATCCTCTCCCCAGGCCCCACTGCAGAGAGAAGCCTGCTGAGACCCCTCCCCACCCCTCACTGCAGAGAGAAGCCCGCTGAGACCCCTCCCCAGCCCCCACTGCAGAGAGAAGCCTGATGAGATCCCTCCCCAGCCCCCACTGCAGAGAGAAGCCCGCTGAGACCCCCCTCCCCACCCCTCACTGCAGACTTTATAGCCTGGGGCAGAATGTGCTGGGAGAAGCAAAAAGTTTAAGTTAGGTGAGAGTTTGGAATTTTGACACTAGGCTGGATTGGATTCTTCAATTATCACAGTGTGTTTAGGAAACTATAGGGTTTAATCTCACCCAGAGTTGAAAAAGAACTATTTGGTGGGGCAGGACAATACCCTGCCAAGACTGACTCATCTAATCAACTGTTGCTCCTAATGCAGTGCAGGGGAGCCCGAGGAAGGAAGGTCTTCAGTTTAAGTCCAGTAGTACCCAAGGGGTTCTAGGCCAGCCAGGGTTACACAGTGAAAGCTGTCTCATGAAATCCAGGACTAAGAAGAGTAAAGTTGTTCATTTTCAGGAAAGTGGATGGAACTGAAGAAGGAAGCCAGACTCATAAAAACAAATATCATGTTTTCTCTCATATGAGGAATCTAAATAAGTGTGTGTGTGGTGTGTGGTGTGTGGTGTGGTGTGTGTGTGTGTGTGTGTGTGTGTGTGTGTGTGTGTGTGTGTGTGTGTGTTGAAAATCGAAGGGAAATATTTGGGAGGAGAGGAGAAAGGAGACTAGCATGAAGGGAACATGGGACAGAGTTGGTGATGTGGGACTTATTAGCAAGGGTGTTTGTGTCACAGACACGTGCATATAGAATCCAAAGGCCAACCTCAAGTGTCATATCTCAACTTGTTTTTTGAGGCGGGGGTTTGTCACCAGAGGGTGGGACTCTCTGGTTAAGCTAGGCTGGCTAGCCAGTGAGCTCCAGGGTTCTGCCTGCCTCCATGTTCCCAGTCCTGGATTATAGGTGCAGGTGTGTGCCACCAGGCCCAGTATTTCATATGGGTGCCCAGGATTGAACTCAGATCCTCATGCTTCTGGCTGAGCTTTCTCTCTAGCCCTAATGGGGATTTATTGATATAATTAAAATGCATTTTAAACGTGTACCAAAATGGCATAATGAAACCAATTATTTTGCACAATAATAAAAAGTTTCTCTGGTAACAAAAAACACTCCAGGGCTAGGGATGTGACTCAGTACTAGGGATGTGACTCGGTACTAGGGATGTGACTCGGTACTAGGGATGTGACTCGGTACTAGGGTACTTACTTGGCATGTGTAGGGCTCTGGGTTCCATTCTCAGCACTTCATAAGGAAAATCAAACCCAACCAGTTGTACCAACATTCAGAGAACAGCAGTCTGTCAAAAGAGGGGTCAGAGGTGAAGTCAGGTGCTCACAGTGTTAAAGAATTTGTTTTAAATCTGACAGTTAAGTAAAATGGTGGCAAGAATTAGTGTCATCCAGGGGAGCCACAGGCTGATTCGCAGTAATAGATTGTGATCATCTATGGTGATATACTGTGTACCTTAATAAAGCTTGCCTGGGGATCAGAGGACAGAGCCCACCTAGATTAGACATAGAGGGCAGGCAGTGGTGGCACACACCTTTAATCCCAGTACTGGGAAGCACACACGCCTTTAATCCCAGGAAGTGACAGCAGGGTGGAGAAAGGTATATAAGACATGAGGAAATAGGAACTCACTCTCTTTAGGCTGAGGATTTCATAGAGATAAGAGCTAGTGGCTGGCTGTTCTGCTTATCTGATCTTCAGGCAAGTTTATTAGGTTACACAATATATCACCACAATTGTCTAAGAATAGAGGGAATGAAACACGTTTGGTTTTGCTGTTCTCTCACTTGCCATGAGGTTGTAAGTCAACCTGTAGATTGTCAGTCAGTAGACAACATACGGAGTTCAAGCACTGCTTATAAGGGATGTGGTCTTAATGCCCTATGAGCAACAGAAAGTCTGCATGATCAGCAATATTATCACATGCTTTGCAGGTGAGTGGTATTAACTTTTGTTTCTCAAATGTCCTTCAACCCATTTCCTTCTCCATCTTTCTGACTTCTTCATGGATGAGCCAAACAAAACTATTGACCTGTGCCATCCCTCATCTGAATGAGAACCATGCTTTTTGTATAATTTATTTTATTTTTTATTTCATGTGCATTTGGTGTTTTGCCTGCATGTCTGTCTGTGTGAGGGTGTTGAAGTCCCTGGAGCTGGAGTTATAGACAGTTGTGAGAACCGTGTTCTTGATAGCATAAAGCCTACAGATTTTCCTTCCCTTTATTCCTGCTGTGATTCAATGTCCCCATTTCCTGCCTCAAACAGACAGACCTGCCTTGTTCCTCCTTTCATATGGTGTATAATGTGTGTGTGTGTGTGTGTGTGTGTGTGTGTGTGTGTGTGTGTGCGCGCGTGTGTGTGTGCGTGTGCACGTGCACACACATCTGCGTCAGGTATGCACACTCATGCACTCAGAAGTCAGAGAGGGATATTGGGTGTCCTGATTTAACACATTCTCCACTTTCCCTTGAGACAAAGTCATCCACTTGGACAGGAGCAAGGTGGGTGGCCTGCAAAGCAAGTCCGTCTCTGACCCCACAGCACAGGGATTACAAGCGCACACACAATCATGTCTGGCTTTTGACCCGAGTGCTGAGGATTTGAACTCAACTCCTTATGCTTGTACAACAAGGCCTCTTACTGAGCCACCTCCCAGCCCTGACGTTGTTCTCTCTCCTCTTTTTTTTTTTAAATTTTATTTTACTTTTTATTTTTATGTACATTTGTGTTTTTGCCATGGGTGTTGGGGTCCCCTGAAACTGGAGTTACAGACAGGTGTGAGCTGTCATGTGGGTGCTGGGAATTGAACTCGGGTCCTCTGGAGAGCAGTCAGTGCTCTTAACCCCTAAGCCATCTCTCTCCGGTACTCTTTTACCATGGGTCTTCTCATTGTTAGGATATAAAATGTCCTCCACAGGCTTATGTTTCAGGGACATGGCTGCTAGCTGAAGGTTTTGGAGAAATGATAGGGTCCTAAATGCTGAGCAGCTAGAGGTATGAGACAGGAAGGAGCAATGGGCTCAATACTTTCTAGAATAATCAAAAGTCTGTTCACAATCTTTACACCACATAGTTCCCTATCAAAATTACGTAAGGTTATATTTCCTGACTTCTGCAACTTGGATTTTTCATGTGGTTTTTGTTTGTTTGGTTGGTTGGTTTTTTCACTTACAATGTTTTTTATGAGGCCATCCTCAAAATTTCCCAACAGCTCCATCAATGGTAGACACATCAGTTCAGCATGTATCTACCATTAGCTCTTACTGAGGCTCCCCTCTGACAGATCACCACGATTTTACTTATTTGCTTGCTGTTTACTAAGCTGCAGGTACACTGCTCAAGTTTCTCCATTTTCTCATCTTGCCTTGTAGGAATCTTTAGAAACATGGATATCTGAGACCACCAGCCCTGCAGACCTGCAACAACCTCTCTTCACCTTGGTCTTGAGACCTGGAGTGTTGTTGGGCAGGTGGGTGTCCTGGCTTCCAGGGAATGTGCTGTTGGTAAATTTCTGAGAGGAGGCATCCATCGTCTGTCCTGTACATGTGAAAAGTAGAGATGACTTGATCCCTTGGTCCTTTTAATTGTTCTATATTTTCAACTGGGTATATGAACTGCACACTGGCAGATGGCCCTGCTCGAAGATGGCCTGGGCTTGCTTTGATGCTTTATTGTGGTTGTCTGGAACTTTTCATAATTTTATCCTTGAATCTGCATTATCTAACTCTGATATGATAAGAAAGTCACACCTGAGCAACATGCATGCCTCCTTCCTTGCCACCTCATTTGCATACAAAGCTCCAGGTGCTCCATGAGCACAAAATCCCAGTGGCCCCACAGCCCATGGGACTTACAGTAGAAGAAGTGAGCGCAAGGCATAAAAGCATGTTATACTCACAGCTCAGGAAGTGGGGGTGCTGAGGACCACAGACAGGCAGCATTCCTTTTGAACTTGATTCAACTGCAGACACAATGACAAGAACAACCAAGGGTGCCTGCTCTAGCTTGTTTATACGGCTTCCCTGTGTCCACCAGCCACTTCCAACACTGAGGAAAGAGCCAGGAGAAGCATAGCTGGGTAAGCCCAGTTCCTTTTCCTCTCAGGAGTTCCTTTTCCATCATAAGCTAACAGCAGAGAAAACTCATAGAAAAACAATCGGAAAAGTCAATTTAAAATGGACTTAAAGTAAGGTTCAAAGCTTTGAATATGCTAGACAAAAACACTTCAAAACCGCGGCACAGGGAAGGACTTCCCGGAAAGGATTCTGATAGCTTACAAAAATAATTGTAAGAATTGAAATATGGGATCGCATACACTCTAGAGCTCCCATACAGCAAAAGAAACCATCCACAGTGTGAACACACAGCCCACAGAATGGCGAACGGCTTCACCAACAGTATGTATGACAGGGAATTAACATCCAGAATACGTCGACAACTCAGAAAATCGAACACCAAGAAACCTAATCATTCCATCAACAAATGGGCCAATGAACTGATTAGACAGTTCTTCAAAGAAGAAACACAAACCAGCCAATGACTACTTGAAAATAGTGTTCAACATCCTTAGCGATCAGGGAGTGGGAATCAAAGCCACGTTGAGATTCCATCTCACTGCAGTCAGAATGGCTAACAAGAAAACAAATGTCAACAACTGCTAGTGAGAACACGTGGCACAAGTTCTCCTTACACACTCCTGGTGAGAATTAAACCTGTGCAGCCTCTATGGAACTCAGCAAGGAGGATCTCAAAACACTAAAAATACAACTACCACACACCCAGCTATAACTCTCTAGGGTTACAGCAGAAGAACTCTAAACCAGAGAACCATAGAGATGCTTGCACATCCACACTTAGTGTTGTATTGTTCATAATAGCCAAGACATAGAACCATCTTAGAAGCCCATAAACATACATTCAATGGAGATTTATTCAGCTGCAGAGAAAAATGAAATCATAACATTTGTAGGCAAATGGACAGAACTGAAGATCATCATGCTAAACAAAATAGAGCAATCAAACCCGTAGATATTATGCTTTCTCTCATCTTCAAATACATATATCTGTGTGTGTGTGTGTGTGTGTGTGTGTGTGTGTGTGTGCATATGTGTGTATGTGACATGAGGTAAGAGGGTGACTATTTGTAGGGAGGAAGAGTTCTAAAATGGGGAGAAGGAACAAGAAAGGATAATAGGAGAGATAAAAGAAAAATAAATATCACATGTTCTTCCTCATATGTAGAATTAACACACACACACACACATGCACGCAAGCATGTGCGCCTGTGCGGCATGACTATTTGGAGAGAAAGAAGGGGCCAATAGAATCAGATAGGGTGATAAAGGAGCAACTATAACCAAAGTACAGTGACATGAATGTATACAAATGTCGTAAGGTAACCTACTATTTTATACACTGGCTAAAAATCCTCTTTGGAAAGAATAAAATACACAGGCAAGTGTTAGCTGCAGGACTGGCAGGGTGACACTTCTGTGACTTCCTCATCCATGCTTTTATGTTTGCAAGTAAAAGAGACACCACACAGTATAAAGATGCACATAAAGCACACTCGTATTTTAACTTTATTCACAGAATCCTTAAAAAGCAAACAAGGAAGTTTATATGAACTCAGGGTAGAGACACAAATGAGGATCCAACTTCTGCTCCAGCGCTTTGGAGGGCTGCAAGGAGAACAGGCTGGAAGGAGAGCTGGATTGGAATCTCTGTCTTTGGGGAATTTGTAACATGACTGGAGAAGCTAGCCTTGTTCAATCTAAGTTACAGAATAGTGGAGGAAGAAAAGCCAGTCCTTCCTCCACTGTGAATTTTAGTCCCAGGTCTAGCACTTTGCCTTCAAACATACATTCATTCTTCCTGAAGCCCATGAAGCTGGCCATGACACTTCTGAAAGTCAAGGGCCTGCTATTGCCTTAGTCACTGTAGGAACTAGCTACCCACGAAAGCTGAGCGGACAGTTCCTTTGTCCCAGTGCAATGGGGACAGCTCTTTAGTCTGAAAAGGTCACGCGAATCATTCAGAACTATCCCTGGTTAACCTGTGCTTTCTGATAGACAGCAATTAACCAATCTGTTTGGCTCCTTAGCCATTAGGATGCTCAGGTCACAGTCCCCAGAGGGAGGAAGGGTGGTGCGGGAAAGAACGGATCATCAAGAGATGCGTGTCACTGTTTGCACCTTACGAGTCCCCCAAAGCCTGGGGGCCAAAGTCTTTGTTGCTGACCTGCAGCACTGTCGGGAGGTGGTGAAATTTTTCGGAAGTGGGACA